GACTACCTTAAATAATTACCTCAGGCTTGGATGGTAGCCACTTCCCCCGTTTTCCTCTTTTTTTACACCATTGCTCCTTTTGGGAGTTGCGCCCTAGCTTCCGTGGGGTATAGACGTGTTGCCTGAGCCCTCCAGTAGTTGGTGGTTGTTCGCCGAGCGGCTGGGATTGTGGGCGTCCCCACCCTCCCTGTAGTTGCCGCTTGGCTGGTGTTGACGTCGCACGCTTGTGATGGGAGGCCTTCTTCCCCCTGTTGTGAGAGTGAACTCCATGGGCCTGGAGTTTACAGGCCGTGTGGGTTATCCTGTAGTATCCATGTCCCGGTAGATGACGTCTACCGGACTGGGTTGAGCTGGTAACTGCTCACCGGGATATTATGTCAAATTAGTGGGGGAGGAAGTGTACCATGAGTTCCTCGCTGTTACGAGGGGCGTTCCTTGTCGCTGCCTGATGGTGCTGGCTCTGTGACCATTACGGACCGTAGTGGTGCCCTGACATACGTGAGTGTGCATGGGGCATCGTTGAAGTTTCCTGAGGACCTGCTCTGGCGTTACTTCCAACAGTTTGGCGCTGTCGTCAGTGTGCAGGTAAACACGCTGTCCACGGGGAGGTAAAGGGTATGCGTACGAACATTCGTACCCTTGGGATGCGCCTGAGGTCTGACATTCCATCTTCAGTCCGGCTTCTGGGGGTACTACGTCCGGGTATACTATGCCCGGCAACCCCGTACCTGCTTTCAGTGTGGACCTGTTGGGGCATCAGGCTGCCGGGTACTCTGGGGCTGCAGTCGCTCCTGGTAACCTGTTCCCGGAGGAGGATTTCCCGCCGCTCCCTGTTGGAGTGGATTCCAAGGGCGAGGATGTGGACGTTCCCGTTGGCTGCTGCGGCTCCCCCTGCGACGCCCGGCGGACCTCCAGGTGATGTGGACCCTCCTCCGGGTGTTACAGTGCCGTTGGCTGATCTTCCTGCTTCTGTTGCTGTCCCAGTTGCTCTAGTGGGTCTTCTGGATGGTCTCTGCGAGACGTCGACGTCTTCATCTTCCTCGTCTCCTGCTGCTGCGACTGGCCCTGCGTCCTCGCCAGGTGTCACGGCTGTGCTGGGTGCTGGGGGGGCTGTGGAGCATCCTGTTGTGTGTGGCCCGGTTTCCCCTGTGGTTGAGGCTGCTGCCGTTCTGCGACGGGCATCGGTTCGCCCGGCTTGTGAAGCCTGTGGTTCTGGGTCTGCCTTTGGCTCTGGGGATGTGCGGTGGGAGCCCAAGCGTTCCCGGCGTTTTTTTTTTTTTTTTTTTTTTTTTTTTTTTTTTGAGATATATACAAGAGTTGTTACATTCTTGTACAGCCACTAGTACGCGTAGCATTTCGGGCTGGTCCCTGGAATACGATCCCCTGCCGCGAAGAATCGTTTTTTCATCCAAGTACACATTTTACTGTTGCGTTAAACAGAGGCTACAGTTAAGGAATTGCGCCCAGTAAATCCTCTCCGGCCAGGATACGAACCCATGACATAGCGCTCGCGAAACGCCAGGCGAGTGTCTTACCACTACACCACGGAGACTGTTCAACTGACTGTTCTTCTACTGCTTGGGCTGATGTGGAGGATTTCGACGCCGGTGGATCTTCGGGCGATGATGTGGTGGTTCCGGGTGCTTCGCGCTCTACGTCGATGGTGGTTGCTGACGTCCATGTGCCTGCTGATGGCAATGTTTGTGCATATGAATTACCTCTTGTTCTTTCTTCTGCAGAAGGTTCTCCACAGTGAGGGGTGGTCGCTCCTACGGACGTGGGTGGTGAGGGTGCTGGTGCGGGCCGAGGCCTCGTGCAGGTGCTGAAGAAGGATGCTCAGCGTGGGGGGTACCTGCAGGTAAACGTCCGGTGGTTGATGTGGGGCCCTGTCAGGCAGCCGAGGAGGCTCCTAGTGCGCTGCCCGTTGCCCGGCCCCGTGGGAAGAAGCCCCTCCCTCTCGTCTTGGCCTCCGGTGTGGCGTATGATGATAAGAACCCTTTGCTGTTTGACATTGTTGACTGTGTGCATCCTGTTCCATGGAGCCCTTCTTCCGTCTGGGTTCCGCGGGCTCGGTGTTTTGTTGTGGGTGTGCCGGAGTTGATGCCTGATCCTCGTACGGTTCATAGTAAACCTGTTCCGGATAACATCATGTTGCTTTGGGAGGCGTATTGTGTTCGATTCCCGGCGGCGGAGTGGCCGGATAAGTATGAGCATTTTGAGTAGTCCGTGTGGTTGCTGTGTGTTTGGTGTGTGAATGGGACCTGTTTTTTGTTATGATATTTGTTGTAATTATTGTGCGCCCTTCAGGCCGGTGTTATGTTTCGTTCTCATATCCTTGTTTTATTGTATTTATTGTATTTCTTAGCATGCTCTGCAGGTAAATTAAAAAAAATTCCCCTCCTCTTTTTTTATGCCATTATATACTCTTTTTTTATGCCATTGCTCCTTTTTTGTAAATAGTTGCTAAGTTTTTGGAGTTTGATGTATTAAATTCGTATTTTTAATGTGTTTTTTATGTCTTATTAGAGTAACATTCTGTATGTGTAATACTCCTATGCCTTTTACATTCTGTAAATTTTGTATATATATATATATTTACAAAATGCATTATTTTGGTCTCACTTTTAACAATTCACTCGCAAAATGGTTCATTAAACAATATTTTGCTAGACAGTTTGGGTTCACACTTGACTTTGGCGATGTTTGTCTTCATAGGAGTCATCACCTACCCGCCCAAATCTGTCACAATCACAGAGATTCACTATCACAGAGATTCACAATGTCTCTATCACTTAGATTCACTATCACTATCACTGAAATTCACTATGTCACTATCACAGACTTAGTGTCTGATTCATTATGATTGGGTTTAAAATATCACAAAAGCAGCCATTTCGCAATGAACAACCACATCTCGAGAAAGCGCGCCCGTGACTGGTCCTAGCGAAGCTACCCTTGTTGGTGTTGACGTTAACGAGACAATCAAAGCCAATCTCAACTTCTTGTCGACGACTGGATACACGCACAACGGAACTGTTTACTTGGGGACGCACTCAACTATGGACACATTCACATGGGGAAACTCCCGCCAATGAATCATAGTGCGCAAAGAGAATGCTAGTTAACCGGACGTTTGAGTCGGTGAAATGAGTGAGGCCAATAGTTGACCCTTGTGCTGTAACTGAATGCCCAATCTACCTTCTGGCTACATTGTGTACCTTCCTGGGATCAACAGCCCCGCGGCTTGGTCTCCGACCAGACCTCCCGGTTGGTCGTCTGGTTAACCAGGCTGTTGGACGAGTATGAAGCCTGACGTATGAATCACAGCCTGGTTGGTACTCTTTGGAGGTGTTGGTCGAGTTCTCTCTTGAACACTGTGAGAGGCCGGCCAGTTATGCTCCTTATGTGTAACGGGAGAGTGTTGAAAAGTCTGGGCCCTTTATGTTAATAGAGTTCTCCCTAAACGTACCTATTGCACTTCTGCTTTTAAACGGGGGTATTTGGCACATCCTGCCATGCGTACTGGTCTCATGTGATGTAATTTTTGTGCTCAGATTTGGAACCAGTCCCTCTATAACCTTCAACGTGTAGAGTATTATGTATCTCTCGCCTGCTCTCTAGAGAACAGAGATTTTGAACTTTTGTATCGGTCCCAATAATTAAGATGACTTATAGAGTGGATTCTAACGGTAAAGGATCTTTACACGCTCTCTAAATCAGAAATTTCACCGGTTCTGAAAGGGGCTGTTAAAATGCAATACTATTCCACGCTAGAGTCACTAGTGTCTTAAAAATTATCATCATTGGTATGGCATTCCTTGTTTGGAAGGTCCTTGCTATCCAACCTGTCATTTTTATTGCAGTCGTGTTAGCTACTTTTTGGTGTTCTGTAAAGGTAACGTCTTTTGACATGATTACTCCAAGATCTTTTACATTGCTTTTCGTTCTATAGTGTGATTTGATTCAGCTTTATATATGGTTTCCGTTTAAAAAAAAAAAATCCATAGCGCAGGAGCTGGAACTTATTTTCATTAAACATCATATTATTATTTGCGGCCCATTAAAATATCCTTCTTACATTCGATTGGAGGTTTGCCGTGTCCTCTGTATTGTCTACTCGCATGAAAATCCTAGTGTCGTCTGGAAATTATGATACAGTGCTGTAGTTTGTTTCCTTGTCTATGTCTGATATTAGAATGAGAAAAGGTACCAGAGTACCGGGCCTGAGCTTTTCACAGTAGATGATCCGGATTTAGCTGAATTAACTATTACACTCTGCGTTCTGTTCATTAGGAGTTGGAAATCCATCTCCTTACTTTGCCAGTAATTCCTTCTGCACGCATTTTGTGAGCAATATCACCATGGTCATTTTTGCCGAAAGCTTTTGCAAAGTCTGCGTATATAACATCTGCCTTTTGCGCCATTCCAGGGCACCAAAGGCCGTGTCATAGTGATCTAGCAACTGTGAGAGGCAGGGGGCGCCCCGTTCTGAACCCGTGTTATCCAGGGTTATGTAAATGTTGTGGTTCCATGTGATTTTTAATCTTCTTAGCATTCTTTCAAAGATTTAATGATGTGTGAGGTTAGAGCTATTGGTCCATAATTATTTTACATCTGCTTTACTACCTCTTTTGTGAAGTGGCGCGGTTTCCGTTGTTTTAAGTATGTCAGGGCTGAAGCCATTATCTAGGCTATATCTCCAAAAGATGTTTATGGATCTCAAACTTATATAATCTTTCGTTATATTGTGAATTATGTGAAGCAAATATAGGTTTAAAAATACTAAATTATAATGTCTGTTAAATTATATAAATGCAATTCCACTAGAATAATGCAGAGGCCCTGTGTAGTAGTTCGAGTCACTTGTTACAGTTATTTTCCTCGTTTAATAATATCTAATCCGGTCAACAGATGGCGACGTCATCACTTTTTAAGTCTTGGCAACTCACGGATAACTTGAGATGTATGTTTTTTTTTTTTTTTTTGTTACACTGAAATGTCTTAACTGGTGTGCAGTTGACACAAGTGCACGTTAAGGGTCAGCTCCGAATTACACAGCAGTCCAACGCTATCCGTCGTTGTAAGAAGAGCATTATTGTTTAAGATTTACGTTGAGTTCATCAGCATATGAAGTAAGATGGTCATTTAATGTAGTGTTTGAAAAATTTTTGGTGTAGCAGAGTTAGCAATATATATATTACTTAAGATTGTGATATTGGCGGGGGGGGGAGGTGTTAAAATGGTGTATTTTAGTTGTACTGACCTTGATATTTCACCCTAACAGATGCTGGGGACACTATTCCTGATGTTGGTTCTGTCCACAGCCGTTTGTGCACCGGCCAGCATAAATGGCACATACAATGAAACGAGTTATCTTAACGAAACGGCTTCGTTAAACACTAGTAATATAGTTAAAATGACTAATAATGGCACTAGACAACCCATGATTGACGTATATTCTGAGGCAGAACCTAGACAACTGCCCATGCATCTTCTATCAACACCGATAATGTAGATCGCTTAAAAATATTTCGGAATGTTTATATAAACTTTTTTTTTCTCTTCCCCCAATTTGTTTTTTTTCTAATTTTCTTTAATACCTGCACTATAAATTCCAGGCACAACGTGGCTTTCAGTGTGAGAAAAGCAGCGCAGAGCCTCGGTCTCCGGAACCGCATTCAGTTCCAGGTATTTGGAAAGGTTGAAGGTCCTTGAAAGTCTGTCAGTTTTTTTTTATTTTTAAAAGATGGCAAACATAGTGAATGAGAGAAATGGCAAAATATTCAAAATTGTGAACTCGTTCGTAATGGATTTTTTTACCTCTCTCAACATTAACACCACTTTCAGGAAGTGGTGACCAACGTAGGTGGTGGCTGGGACGAAACTACTAGTGAATTTGTTGCACCATACAATGGCGGATATTTCTTCATCTTTCATGCTGTTGGCGCAAGAGATGGTGACTTTACGTGAGTTGCATAACTTGCCGAGTTCATTGGAGAATTTTCGTTCCACTAAGTGAAGGCTGATGTTACTGTACATCTTGATTATCAATTCTTGCACAATGGCCTTATTTAACCACGTTTACTGGTCGGTACAGCAACGCCCTTATATCATGCAGCTCGGCGTTGGATCGTAAATGGTTAAGCTAGTAAGAGCACTTCGTCCTACCCCAGCTCGTTATCCTAGTATCCCTTAAAGTTGCTACCTACTAATTCCGAGCTGTTTCTTGTTGCAGAATGGCCCTGAACAAGAATGGAGAATACCAGGTGACTGCCTACGGTACTCAGAAGACCTTTGAGCACGGATCAAATTCCATCTTCCTGCAACTCCGCCGTCAGGATAAAATTTTCCTGCAATTGCAACAGGGATTTATCTTTGAAAGCCCTGGTAACGAGGCCTACACTACCTTTAATGGTTTCAGCGTCTTCAGAGCATGAAACTGATTTTGTAATACATATGGCTTAAATTCTTTAAAAATCTTGTTTAATAAATCTCTACTGTTCCTCCATTAAAATTCAAATCTGGGAACATTAAAAAATACTAGTAAAAAAAAAAATGAAAAATCTTATTCCTAATGCCTAAAGTTCTAGTAGCATAGAGCTATCGGTAATGCATTTAATTTATCAGTTAAGGGTTCCGACTTACTTTCATCTAAAATTTATAGTTTATAAACTTAAATTTTTTACCGAAGATTTGTTTGTCTACCTTTCTAAAGAGAATTTAAGTTTAGTGGTAGTTACGTTTTCAGGGAAAACGTATACCACCCCCCCCTCCCCCATTTTTTTTTTTACGTATTGAACTCTTAAAGTTCTGCCTTCAAGTTGGAAAATGGCGAGCTCGTCTTGTCTGAAGGCCACCGGATATGTATTATGGATAAATGGCTTGCCTTTAGAAGGCTTATCATGATCACATGTATCGTGCAGGAATGACCGAAATTTATTCTAAGGGATCGGATAAATAGTTTCCCATTTTTTTTTCTAAATTCCATCAATATCTAAAAGTCCAAAGTTAAATGGTTGACGCTTGGAGCTAATCTTAACGACGATGTTAGATCAGTGATCATGTTCGAAGAAGTGCTTTATGCATTCCCCTCCCCCCCCCCTACCCCTTTCCTTTTTCCTTAAGTAGAAATGGCAAAGTTCTTTGAATATCGCTAAATGACTCCATCAATCCTATCCATTTAATGTCTTGTAGAGTTATTGAGGAGCAGTGAGTACATTACAACAAAAGGGAAGATGGGACAGAATGAGGTGGAGACGCCTGAGGACACACCTCATAGGGGGGGGGGGCCCAGCTTGTGAAGAGGGCAAATAAAGGCAATGTGTAAGGAATATGGGTAGTGACAAGGACTGTAGTGAAGTGTGATGTGGTCTGTCATCCGATCCTCACACCAAGCTGGTGATATGGAGAGTGAGGCATAGCTATAAACCCAGCAAGCCTCCATGAGGAATGCCAGCTGCATGAAACTATATAAACTATATTTGGAAAAATTTGCAGAACTGGAGAAACATTTTGTATTAATCATTTCTTAATGGCATTGGCAAGCCATATTGGTGTCTTTAAATGAGCGTGCTGATGCTGCCGCCAAGGAAGCTGTCCGCTCTTGTCCCATCTCCCCCTCCCCGCTCAGCTCGTTGTCGCCGTGTGGGGGCTTAGTGGGCGGCTGCCGGAGTGTGATGCTCCTTGGGACAGTCCTCTGTCCTTTTCTAGCCTTGTGCTCCTACTGCCGTCCTCTCCAATTCTGCTGGGCATCTTTTCCTTTTCCTTCTGTTTCGTTTTTCTCCCCCATCTTCTCCCATCTGCTTGCCGTTTCCTGCCGACCTTTTGCTCGTTCTGGTTCTTCCCTTGGACTTCTTCTATTTTGACGCCCAGGTGCTTGAGGAGGCATACTCTTGCACCCGTAGAACTGTAGTACCCGACGTCGAGAGCAAGGAGAACCTTTTATTGTCAATCCCCCTTTCGTCACTGAACCCGATCTCGACGGACTGTCGGTTTCTTAAGGTGACGTTTGTGGGACGTATACTCACGACGCACCCCTAGGAGGCCCCGGCAAGATCGGCGATAGCTTCTTGTTGGGTGTCCTGCCTCTAATTGTGGCTCCATGGTTGGTGTGGGGGCACATTCGTGGATGAATTCTTCTTTTCGTCAAGATGATAACCCCTGTTTCGGCTGCTTCTGGCTTACCTTTTCAGGCTCGTGGGGTGGGCGACCAAGCCCCCGAGTCGGTCCGTATTGGAAGACCGGGCTCTGTAGCCTCCGCTGCATTGGGCCCCGACCTTGCTCCTCCTTTGGCCTCTCTGACTCCTTCCCCTGGCTCCCCTCCCTCCTCTGTGGTTGGGTCGAGCCCCAAGCCCCCAGTGGTGACTACCTCGTCCCCTGGCGCGGCTCCTTCTCTAGTTGTAACTACTGCGCCTTTTAACCCCTCTCTCTCTGGGGGTTCTCACCGCCGTCCTCGTCACGGCCGCCCTCGCTCGATTCCTTCCAGTTCTGCTACCTATCAAGCCTTGTTTGGTCCCGCTTCGTGGGCCAAATATTTTGATCTCCTCCCTCTTGATTCTGCGCCTCCTGACGATTTCTCCCTTCATCGACATCTCATTGATTCCGTGGATGCCTCCATTACTTTCAACCCCACTCGTCTCGGTACACGTGTCGTTGCTGCTCCTTCTCAGGATGCTGCTTCCCGCTTGGCTGCCTTATCCTGCCTTGGCGAGACCCCCGTTCGGGTCTCGAAGAACGCTCAATTGAATGCCAGTGTTGGCACTATTTTGCTCCCGCCCCATGTTGCAACCGGTGTTCGGGACCTGCGCGACTGCCACGACGATATTCGCCATATCCTCGCTGCCCAGGGCCATTCTATTCTCCAGGTGGACACGTTTACTCGTCCCCCTCGTGGTAGTCGCCGTCAACCCCTCCGGGTTGTGAAGATTACCTTTGATGGTAGGACCCTTCCACCCTCTGTCATTCTTGCTGGTGCCAGGTGCTCTGTCCAGGAGTACATTCCTTCTCCTCGGCTCTGCTGACAAGTGCTGGAGGTTTGGGCATGGTGCCCTCCGCTGCTCCGGGACTGTCTCTCTCTGTCCTTTGTGTGGTGGCGAGGGTGACTCTAAGTCGGAGTGCACTTCTCCCCAGGCTCGTTGCCTCAACTGCGGTGAGGCCCATCCTACCTTCTCCCGTGCGTGTGTCCATTACAAGCTTGAGGCAGCCGTCCTCAACTTGAAGCACCGGGAGCGTTTATATTTTCCTGAGGCGAGGCGCCAGGTTCGCCGGCTCCCGCCTTATGCTAATATCTCTTATGCTCGCGTGTTGCGCTCTTCCTCTCCTCGTCCTTCCCGCCTTCCTCAGACTCACAACCGTTTCCGGGCCTTGGACCCTGATGCGCCCACTGCCCCCTCCTCTGTCCCTTTGGGTTCTCTCCCGAAGGATCCTCCTCCTGGTCCTCTGTCTGGGGTTCCCCTTCCTTCTACCCGGTCTGTCGTGTCTTCTGTGTCTTCTTCCTCGTCCCCCTCCGATCCTCCTTCCCATCCTCTTCCTCCATCTATCGGCTCTCCCCACCGCCTGTCGGTGCGGGCGGATGTCCATCGCTCTCCTAACGGCCGTCGTGTGTGCTCTCGTTCGGCTTCTCCTGTTGAGACACTGGAATCCGTTGCCCGGTACGTAGTTGCTGGGACACCGGTCTCTTTAAGTCAGAAGCGTAAGCCTGGCTCCTCTCCTTCCTCTTCCCCGGCGGGTAAGAAGGCTTCGCTTTCTTCCTCAGCTCCTCCTTCTGGCTCTGTTGCTCCTTCCCCTCCCGTTTCAGTGCTTGCGCCCCCTGTTCCTGCTATGGAGGTTTCTTTGGCCCCTGCTTCCCTTTCGGTTGCTGCTCTTGCTGGGGTGCGCTCCCCTCTTTCTACTCCCCCTCCTCCTGCTGCTGTCCTTGACGGCTCCTCTCCGTTGTCTCCTCCTCTTCCTCCTCCTCCTCCGGACCCTGCCCGCCCACCTCTGCTCTGTTCTCCCGTTTCCTTCCCTCCGTCTTTGCTCAGTTTACCCATGCCCCCTAACCCTGACTTTGCTGACCCTGATATTCTTTAACGTGCTCTGTTGGTCTTTCGCCTTTGTTTCTTCCTTGTTCTCTGTTTTTGTCCTTTCTCTTCTCGTCGTTGTCCATTCTTCAATGGAACGTTCGAGGTTATTACGCCAATTTCCTCGAATTCCAACTTCTGATTTCGCGGTTTTCGCCCCTTTGTGTCTGTCTCCAGGAGCCAATGCTTGGTGCTCGTCCTGGTCGTTTTCGTGGCTATTCCTTTCTCTCCCCCCCCCCCCCCAGCCATTGCTGGGGCTTCTAATTCTTCTGCTCTTTTGATTCGGGCTGATGTTCCCTTTGTTCCTTTACTTTTTCCTTCGCCTCTCCATTGTTCTGCTGCTCGTATCTTTGTGGGGAAATGGTACACAGTTTGTTCCATTTATCTCCCCCCGAGTGTCCCGCTCTCTCTTCCTGATTTGAAACACCACCTAGACTCCTTGCCGGAGCCTGTGCTCCTGCTGGGTGACTTCAATTGTCGTCATTCTCTTTGGGGTGACGTTCTGACGAATACCCGGGGTCGCCTCCTTGAGCCGTTTCTCCTCTCTTCTTCCCTGTCTCTTCTGAATTCTGGTGAGCCCACTCATTTGGACTCTCGGACTCGCACCCTTTCTTGTCTTGATCTTTCTCTCTGCTCTTCTTCTCTTTACTTAGATTTCACGTGGCAGGTTCTTGATGACCTCCATGGAAGTGATCATTTCCCCATCCTTGTTTCCTTTTTCTCTTTTCGCCCTTCCCTCTCTTTCCCTAGGTGGCAGTTTGCTAAGGCAGACTGGACCCTATTTACCCTCAGTGCTGCTCTCCCTTCTGCCTCTCTCTCGCGCTCTCCTCCTTTTTCATGACACTGTCTTCAACGCTGCCCTCCGCTCTATTCCTCGCTCTTCCTCTCGGGGTCCACGGAAGTGCGTTCCCTGGTGGAATGCGGACTGTGCTCGGGCTGTCCGCTGTAAGCGTGCAGCCTGGAAGAGGCACCGCCGTAGGCAGACGACCGATTCTTTTCTTTTCTTTCGGAAAGCGAGTGCGGTGGCCCGTAGGGCCATCCGTACGGCTAAACGTGAATGTTGGGCATCTTATGTCTCAACAATTACGTCCGAGACCCCTCTGGCCCAGATCTGGAAGCGTATCCGCAAGATAGCGGGTAAGTTCGTTCCCGATGTTTCACCGGTCCTTCACCTCCATGATACTCTTGTGGCGGACCCGTTGCAGGTCGCTTCCGAACTGGGTTCCCATTTTTCTTCTGTTAGCTCTGGTCTTCATCTTCCCCAATCTTTCCTTCTTCGTAAACCTGTCCTTGAGTCTCGTCCTTTAGATTTCTGCACTCATCTTCAGCTTCCCTATAATGATCCCTTCTCTCTCTCTGAACTTCGTTCTGCCCTGGCCCTCTGCGGTTCTACGGCGGCGGGCTCCGATGGTATTCATT